ACTTACTCTTAAACATACCCGGGTATGTCACATAACCTGCTTTCTGGAATACACCCCTGCTAGAGAGTTTAGGGCAGTATTTTGATTTACTGTCGTGATTGTGAAAAATGTAATTCGTGCTGAATGGAGAATTACCATAGAACTCACATCATCGTTTAGGGAGACACTAGGCAACGTAATACGCTTTTTCGCCTTGTCTACGTGTAAAAACACTAAGGAAAGCAGGTTGAGGAGGAGACGGGAAGACGCCGGATAGCAAATCTTGTAATGATGTCACTGATTAAACCATATCACTCAATAAAATAATCACATTGCTGAGTGTTTTTGAAAGTTTGTATTTTGTTTGGTTTAATAATTAACATTACATTTGCGAGTATGACTCTCAATCGGGTTGAGAATTAGCAGAACTTGCACACAGACACTTCAGACCTGTTCACAAGCTTCCATAGATTTGATTTTGGCTGTCATTTGTTGAAATAAATACAAAAAATTCAGTGTGTCGGTGTCTGTCCGCTGAACGTGACCCTCTCCGCTTCTCCTCTGTGGTTATATATGAAAGTGAACACATTTTTATATTAGACATTTCTACCATACGATGGCTGAAGCAGCAGCGCGTGACACTCTTTTCACAGAACTATCAACATTGTGAACAGAATTCTACAAAACGTCAGTGAAAACATCAAATGGTCATGCAATGGGATAAAATAGCTTCTCTTTCCTGTAAACAATACCATGAAGAATGTGAATATTTAACCAAGTCAAAAGGTAAGCAGTTATCCATATTAATTTCAGTTTCAGCAGACGCAAAACACCATTAAAAGCGACAACTTTTAAAGTAAAAAAATGATCAAATTTACATAAATGATAAAAGCTCCTTGTGGTTTCTCGGTTTGAGATTCCTCCATCTGCATTTCGTGCCACAGCGTGACGTCATGTGCAAACAACCTATTTGGTTTTGATTATCCTGTAGGAATATGTAGGCCAATAAGCAGTTTATGGACCTATTGACAAATGCCAAGTTTTGCGTGGAAACGGCCGTACGCCCAGTATTTTGTTGCATGTTCATTCTTTCATAAATGAGGCCCATGATCTTTGTGTGGTCTGCTTGGGAGTAAAGCATGCTGTCGAGGGGTCTGACTGTGTTCATTGTGAACGTCTTCCGCTGAGGACGCTTTGCTCCTGGCTGGCGCTCTTCGAGGAGGGTGGCCAGATTCATACCCGCCGTGGTTTGGGTCCCGCGTCTGCTGAGGCAGCGTAGCGGCTCAGATAATGGGGGGCGCAAAGCAAATGTCCCAAAATTGTCCCTTTCTCAGCTCTCACCTGCTGGTTCCATCGCGATCCGGAAGCCAATCTGTGGTTTCTTTCACCCCGGGTGGAGTGGGTGTTGACTTTGTCTAGCTTTGAGGAGGATATTAAGGGGTGGTAGTCTCAGAATCATTTTTACAACACGTTAAAATACATTTTATGGACTATATATGGATTACTGATCCCTTTTTATTGGAATCTCCATCACTCTTTCATCTGGTCAAACTGAGCCCTCTGTCTACATTTCTCTTTCCATTACGCACTCATACCTGCAAACTCTGAAGGTCTGAAAAAGGAGACACATTTTATACCTCAATCCACGGGAAAGCTGCAGCCATGGGCTTTTCAAAGACGACACTGCCGTTATTTTGACTGTGATTGGCCAAATGACTCGCGTGATGTACCAAAGATGTTTGTGAAGAAGACCGCAGTTGGTTTATGGGAAATGAACCATGTAATTTTTCCGTAAACGCATTTACTGAAAACGCCAACGCCAGCCGAATGTTATGAGCAGCAGTTATGCTAATTATTCTCCATTTGCTTTTCTGTTTCTACCTCGGGATTACATCAGCTCCAGCTTGCATCCAGTTGGGCAAGAAGCACAATCGCAGCATGTAACCATTGCTTTAACATGCTCATTGTTTCTGCTTAAATTATTACATACATAAACACATATTTTACTTACCATGACTGGTGTGTACAAACTCTTACTGGCAAACTGATTCTTTGCTTTGCATGGCTAGAATGTCACAGAGCAACCACACAGGAATGGCTTTGTTCTCCCTCATTATTTTCCCCAAAATGTGACCAATCGCACAGTTCATGAAACCACTATTACACAAAATAGAGCAAATCCTCTCCATATTTACCAACAGAACTATACACAGTGTGCTTTCACAGTACCTCTTTCGGGACTTAACTTATCTCTGGTCAACTGTAGCGAGTGTCACAGGTGGAGAGCCAGACATTCTGCCCTGGTTTGTATGAGGGAGCATTAGATCTCCAGGTGGCCGCCTGAATTTTCTGGCAATGGACTGTCCTTCGCAGATGGACATGAGCTGAGTCCCACACCCTCTTGCTCTTATCAAACTGCTCCCACTGCTGGAACCTCAGATGGTTTGCCAGGCCAGGAGAATAGAGGTGGTTGGAAGCCAAGTACGCACTGGAAAGAAGTGAGGCCAATGGCTGGTTGGCAAAGAGAGTCTTGTGTGTACTAAATGCAGAAATTGGCTCCAGCTGTTGTGGCTGTCGTGGCAGTATTTCCTCAGGATGCATCCAATATTCTGGCTCTTACCCTCCATCTGCCCCTTTGTTTGCAGGTGGTAACCTGATGAAAAACTCACTAACATATCCACGACAGAGAAGGACCTCCATACCTGGGAGATGAACTGGGGGGCATGGTCAGAAAATATGGCTGCATCCGAAATGGCTTACTTCCCTACTATACAGTAGGTGAAAAACAGTACCGTATTTTCCGCACTATACGGCGCAACGGATTATAAGGCGCACCTTCAATGAATGACCTATTTTATCGAACGTTTGACTGGGTTTGCGTTATGCATCCACTAGATGTGCTAAAGGGAATGTAGCTAGTGCGCGGCGCCGGAGGCGAGGCGTTTATTAGTAAGCATGAGCGCGCTGGGGTGGGCACGTAACTTACATTCGCAGCCTGACTCTTGAGTATTCATGTGCGGCGGCTCGCTGACAGCAACAGCTGGCTGTTTTGAATGAGACGACCCGGTTACTGTGAACGGGGAGCGCTTTATGAACATTCTGTGACGCGCGAGTAGCGCCGGGGACAGTGTGTCTGTTAGTAAGAGTGAGCGCTCGTGAGCGGGCACGTGACTTACACATAACCTGATTTATACGAGGTTGAACTGGCCGTGTGACAGAGCGGGCATAAGCGAGTTTGCGGGCGAATTTAATAACGCGGAGCGTTATAAACCAATTGATCCATATATAAGGTGCTCCGGATTATAAGGCGCACTGTCGTTTTTTTGAGAAAACTAAAGGCTTTTAAGTGCGCCTTATAGTGCGGAAAATACGGTATGTGACAGAGGAAGTATGTACGAATTCACAGAACTCATAAAATTGCAAAAAGTACCCGCATGACCTACTACTTCCGGTGAGATTCTAAAGTGTGCATATGATGGACACATTACTATCCCATGAGGCCACAGGAGGGGATTTGTGAATGGTGGAGAAGCAATGCAGCTGATGCTGGAAGGTCACTTGATAATGTCAGCATGAAGTACATCTGGATTTCATTCACACTACACACATTCATACTATTTAAATCACTTTTTTAGCAATCGTGAAGTAATTCTTCAAAATAAGTACCTTCTCAAGAGAGTATGCTATTTCGGATGCAGCCTGTTTTTTCCGGATGACTGAAGTTTTCATGAGACATGTTGGAGTAGTGTTTCCGCTGTCTCAAAGGTCACAGGGAGGCCCTTTATTGGCACCAGACAACTAGCTTTGGAAAGCTGCCACGTGGACACAGTTGTAGCCGTCTGATGCTGCAAGATCAGGGATGAAGTCCAGTCCTAGGTGTGACTAGGGGCAATGAGGACCGGGCTGAGGAAGGAGTTTGCCGATGGGCAGGTGGCGAGGAGATTTGGAAATTGCAGTCCGGGTAGCCATGCATGAACCGATTAACTTCCTGGGACGTATACGGGCCACCCGGAAGGGGAGGTGGAGATTAGGATGAATGAGGAAAGGTGCAATAGTGAGGGTGGTAAGGTCCAATCTTAGAAAAGCTTTAATTATGACATCCATAAATTTGCAAACAGTTACCTCTAAAACACATTTCAACCGCCCAGTTGAGTCCCTTTGCCTTATAGAAAGACCATATGGCTCCTTCTTGGTCCACAGGACTGTCTCTCACATCCAAATGGAAACCGTGGCTTTGACTGGCTTTGTTCCCTCAGCAAAGTTCTACAGAATATCAGAGATGTCATGTGTGGGTGTAAAATCCTCATTTGTCATTAACATAAATAAAACAACTACATTTTGTAATTATATTTGTATGCATACATAAAGAATATCACCCCTCACAAGCATTACCCAATTATCTGCTTGTAATCTTGCTTGATCCAGATGATTCCACTGCTGATGAAGGTCAAGGAAGTTCCTCTATTTGTGTCATCTCTTGGACTATTTATTTTGAAACATTTAAGCTTTTCAGGTTTACTAAGTAGTATCAATCTCTAAAACGAGACCGCAAAATTGACACGCTGCACAATCAAGGGTGTGACAATTAACAATTGGCTCTGCTGTATCAGCAGGTTCAATATGGTTAGTGTATGGGTGGATTTAGGAACGTAGGCTAAGTAAGATCCCAATAATGGAGCATCCATTTATGATTTTATTAAATATACATTGAAGATGTTGTTGTTATTATAGCATACTACTTTATGATTTACTAGGCAGAAACCCCTAGGTTTAGTGGTTAGTCAGGATAAACAGTGAGACACTTGCAGCTGAACCAAATTCCAGAAATCATCAGATAACAGCAACAATAGTCATATTCAAGTCCAGATTAACAGATTAACAGAGCATTCTCTCACTAAAAATGAAGCATGTAATGCTGTGCAATGTTCTTTATTTCATTTTGTTTTTTGAAATTGTATGTATAATCATTCAGTTCCGTTATGGTATGTCACAGCAAGACAGAAGTTTAACTAATAATTTGATTTCAAGTCATCAATATTTGGAATGGAGTGACGCCTCTATACAATCAAAATTGGAGGGCTGAGATGGTCGATGTGGCCAGAAGAGTTCATATGTGCATTTGAGCACACAAAAAAGTAGTGAAGGATATGTGAATGTTTGAATGATATCTAAGGCTTTGTTCTGTTGTGAAGCGCTTTCCACACTGATCACATACAAACACTTTTCTCCAGTGTAAATTATTAATGTGGGTTTTAAGGGATTTTTTGTGTGTAAAACTCTGTCCACAATGAGAGCAAGTATAAGGCTTTTCTCCAGTGTGGAGTCTCATGTGGACCTTAAGGTTTACTTTATGTGTGAAACTCTTTCCACACTGATCACATGGGAATGGTTTATCTCCAGTGTGAATGTTTATATGAAATCTAAGGCTTTGTTCTGTTGTGAAGCGCTTTCCACACTGATCACATGCAAACAGCTTTTCTCCCGTGTGCAGTTTGATGTGGGTATTAAGGGTTTTTTTATGTGTAAAACTCTGTCCACAATGAGAGCAAGTGTAAGGCTTTTCTCCAGTGTGGATTCTCATGTGGACATTAAGGTTTCCTTTTTGAGTGAAACTGATCCCACACTGTTGGCAGGTGAAAGGACTCTCTCCAGTGTGAAGTCTCATGTGGACCATAAGGTTTCCTTTTCGATTGAAATTTTTTCCACATTGTTTGCAGGTAAAAGGTCTCTCTCCAGCGTGAATGCTCATGTGGAGTTTAAGGCTTTGTGTTTGGCTGAAACTCTTTCCACACTGATGGCAGGTGACATTACTGTTAGATTTGGTCTTCTGAGCTCTTTTTTGTGAGGAAGTAATTTCAGTCTGTGTGGATGGTTTTTCTCCAATCATGAAATCATGTTTCTCATCTTTCTCTTCAATATTATTCAGTTCTTGACTCTTTTCAGTTTTCAGTTCCTCTTTCAGCACCATCAGGTCTAAAGTGAAAAAAGACAAATACAAGTTAACACCAGTTTAATGGCACAAACCCTACTACAATAAGACTACTGAAATATTTTTTTTCTGTAATTTCAATTTTTATAAATTATTGGATTATTAATTATTTTTAATTTCTAATTTCAAGCACTTTTGTCGACACAAATGTTTAATGTAAATGGATTTCTTCACTGGATCTCTTAGTAACAGTGTCACGTGATCGAGATCGGCCGGATCGGCAAGTTCGGGGCGCTGTGCTGTCTATTATTGGTCCGAACTAATAAACGGTCCGTGAAGCATAAATTAGTGCATTTTCGTTCCGCTTTCATTTTCTTTGCATTCGCTGCTCGGCAACGAGTCGATAGATCGCTTGCTCATTGCTCAGACGCACATAGCAGCAGGTTGTGATATTTGTCTCCGTCTCCTCCCTTTCTTTACTGTCTATGTCTCCTTCCCACAGACGTTTACGAGCGCTAGATTATCTCCAGGACCCTCCCCTCCAAACATTATTCACTTGCAGTGGCCATTTTACTATTCTTTTCACACTCATTGGCCTGCCACTCATTCCAGATTTATTGACGCGCCCCTTCCACGTTTAACATGTAAAAAAAAAAAAAAGAGGCAAATTTACTGGTCGCACATGTGCGACTGGATGTAAAATTCAGTCGCACACTCTCAAATTTTGGTCGAAAAATGCAACCATTTGGTGGGGGACATCATCTATGTTCCCTCCATCAGGGAACAAGGGTTACATTAGTAACCAGGACGTTGCCCATTTGTCAGTCGCTACAACGTTATGTTGACTGACAAATGTGGTCCCTATGGAAAACGCCACAACCACTGAAATGTGTTACGAGTGATGGAGATACAGATGCTGGCAAGCTGTAGCGTGCCCTTTTGGCAACTGCTCCTGTTGAGTCGTAATCTACCCAGCGCCCCACGAAAGCCCAGAATATTAGTCCTCCATGCCAACAGGATAAAAGGGACAGGGCTTACCATGGAGACGGTCATAGCTGCTGTTCCTTTTTTGATTTCACATTTTATTTCGGTTCTCAATTCCCTTCTTTAAGCCATGAACAGTGTAATTAATGCTGGGTGAAGCTTACCTAGTCCAACAGAGAGGGACGCTACGGAGGCCAGATCCTACCCGAAGGGAGAAATATGTGGAAATCCACATATTGACTGACCCGTGGGGCAGTGCTACATATGGAAAGGCCTCTGCGGTAGGTCCTACCTAGATAGGGATGAAACTACTTCAGAAGCAGAGACGGGGCAGAGCAAATCTGCCCAGGGAAAGACTGATTTACCGACAGGGAAACAGTATCATATGGGATTACCAAGGGGGAATCACAACACATGGGGCATCTAGCCCAGTACAGGGGCTGACTGAGCGGGCATGCACTCAAGTACTGGGACTGCCGGAGGATGCTTCGGAGGAAACTCAACCTGGTCCTGGAAGAGAGTGGTGGGATGACATGAGGAGAGGCCTGCCTGAACTCAAGGCACGATTCGCTGACAGAAATTCCTGCAGGTTCTCCACCCTTATGATGGAAATGTGCGAGGTCAGGAGGGCTGTCTTTGGAGACAGGACCTTAAGTTCAACTGACTCAAGCAGCTTAAAGGGAGATCTCTGGATACCTGAAAGGACCACAGAGAGACCTCAGGAGGGGATGAGGCTCGGCCTGGAAGGATTTAAACCAGTTTGTGCTTTCCTAGTGATTTACCATTCACTGCAACTTGATGTGCCGCAATGGTTGCAACATACATCTTCTAGGTGGAGGGGGACAACCTCCGCTTCAACACTTCTTGCAGAAAGGAAAGCGCAGAACCGATCGGGCATCTCCGGGGGTCTTTCTGACGAGAAAGCACCACTCAGCGAACAGACTCCACTTCAAAGCATTAGTTCGCCTAATACAGGGAGTTTCAGCTTGAGTGATAGTGTCTACCGCCACTGGTGCGCTGTCCCTAAAAAAGAAGGTCCTTCCTCATGGGAATCTGTCAGGGAGAGGCTGTCACAAGAAGAATCAGGTCAGAAAACCAGATTTGGGTGGGCTAGTAAAGCGCAACCATCAAGACCTGCTCCCCGTCCTCCCTGACCTTGCACAGTTTCTGAGCAAGTAGGCTCACTGGGGGAAACGCGTATTTGCGTGTGTGCCCAAACATCCGTGCCGAGGGGGGCTCGGTCATGGAGTAAAAGAGCTGGCAGTGGGAGGCAAATATACCTACCTGTGTTCCCGAAACAACTCTAGATCAGCTGAACCATCTGGGGATGGAGTCTGCATTCTCTATTCACTTTTGTAATCTTTATGTTAATGGCCAATACGCAAGTCTGAATAACTGCTATAGTTAAGTTACAGTGAATAAAAATGACAAAGTATGGAACTATTCACTATATGAAAATAGTTCCGAACAGCCACAGCAGAGCCGTTGCATGTGTGCGACACACAGTGGTGTTTTGTTCATGGATGATTCAGTGTTTTTGAATGAATCAGTCACAAGTCAGGTTGAGCCTGTTGGGTGTTTTTTTTTTTATATGAGTGAAGCTGCTTCTCAAATGAGAAAAAAAATAGATAAATTGGATTGACGACACATTGTCATTAGCTACCTGCAGCGATCTCATGTGAAATGAAATGACAGTAGACGGAACTGTCACTGTCGCGATCGGGCCAGTGCTGCATCATCACGAAAGTTTATCATTTGCATTTTTAAGCCTTGCCAATTTATATTATCAAGTGCAAGACGACGTGAAAGAGAACTCAATTTGTTTCTCATGCGCTGTGTGAAAACTTTTGTATGCGCAAATATCCGAAGCGTGCATCCAAACAGCCGAATCTCAGACAGTGCGTGCATACTTTTGCATCTTCTTGCATTTGAAACAGACATATTTACACAATATTGTCAAAATGTCCGTCTTGGTGAGTGTCCTCATAAACATAGTCAGTTATGTCTTAAGTAAATATAAAGAGTTGAGAAATAAAATACATGTGTAACAGTATATTGCATCTGTGCATTAGCTGTTAAAGTGACAGCAGCCTAATATTCCTGCTGCTATCTGTGTTTTTAATGTTAATCAAACAATAAAGGACTAAGAAAAAAAAACACTCACTGCTCTTGACTGAATAGCCTAACTTTTATAACTTTAATAAAGTGGGGCCAGTGAAAAGATCTTAAACTTCAAATGTTGGATTCGAGAAACAGGGGCCTCAAGACTGTTTATATAAACATAATATTTCCATAATAACACTAGTTTTACCAGATCTTCCCTCATGTTAAAATACACCTGAAGAAAACAAATGTTCAGGCAGTGGTACAGAATAAACATGACCTGTGATTTAATTAGTAATCTTTAAATTAAGAAATGAAGCTGAAATCAGGCTTTCAATAAAGAAAAAGGGGGGAAAGCTGCAGGAAGACAAACAGGTACCAAAACACCTGCCAATGGAGTGAATTAAGAAAATACAGGCAAAAAAAAATTCCTATCAGTCATTAAAAAGTAATTGCATTATAAAAATGTGTCATTATGAGACTAGTATTATTTAGCTATAAACAGCATCATACAAGCTAGTCTCAATCTCTCTGAGACTGAATACTTCTCACGTGTGCTGCTACATGGAGTCCAGGAGAAGAAACTGATCCTACATCAACTTCTGATGGAAAACTGGGGTTGTTAGAAGAGATTTTAGGTTTAATGTTACACAGAATACTGGTTTTGTTTAGGCTACTTCCATATTATTTTCCTAATTTAATGTTCTACATGTCATAATAAGCAGCATTTGCATTAGTCTGGTCATGTGATCTCAACAAACATGTCTGTCCACATGAGAAGACCCGCTCCATGTCAAATAAAGACGCTTTAATTAGGACACTCATATGATATTCTTCAGAAATATCATTCATTTCTGTAGACCATTTTAATAAGGACAGAATGAAACTAACCTGTTTGTTCCTCAGTATCTTGATGTTTCACGTTGAACACTTCTTCAATCTTTATGTCTTCACTCTCCTCTTTAATTAAATCCATCTTTATAATAGTGTCACGTGGATCTCAGATGTTTCTCCAGGAGTTTTCCTGTGTGTTTGGACAATTTGTCATGTTTAAGATGAGAATAATTAACGGAAAGAGAAATAAATCCACCAGTAAATCTCTGTGTGCGTCTCAATCAGCTGTAGTTCAGTACACTGGTGAGGGAGTCAGTCAGAGAGAGAGTTCATGGACTTAAATCAACTGACCAGACAAAAATCACCCAAAACAAGCAGTGAAAATTAATAAAAGAGCAAATAATATACACTTCATATTTAGGCATTTATGATGTATGATATTGAAAGATTTGTAGACTACATTAAATAGATTACACTTTCATTAAAACATTTGCTATTGGTTTGTAAAAGTTGTCATTACATGTTTGTATTCTCTTTGCATCTACATTGTTTTAGTCAGTTCGAGCTAGTCGAATCAGTGAATCGTTTTGCGGAGCGATTGGTTCAATTGACAAAAAAGAAAACATCCGTTTCTCCTTCACTACTTGCCAGCTGCCGAATTCGTGTTTACGACAAAAATTATTGACTATATGTGGAACGAAATGAGAAGCATCTTTTCTGATTTACTAGGACTGTAATACCTAATCCTAGTAAACAAATTACCGACGTGCAAAATCACTTTATTCATAAAAACATCTTCTGTTATGTTCAAATAAATAATTACAATGGTTCGTACAATAATAAAGCATCGATCTTGCATACCTTGTAAAAACTATACAAATAGTTTAGCGGTTTTTGTGTTGATATAAATGCTTTAAAACAAACCTTTCTTCAGCCAAACACAACACTTGCAGGAACGCGACGCAGACATATGACGTCACATCGCCAGACCAAAATAAAAGTCCCTTTCACTCGCTGCTGTCTAAAATCACAAAAATCCATATACAACATAGAAATGTATTTACTACACACACACACAAACACACACACACACACACACACACACACACACACACACACACACACACACACACACACACACACACACACACACACATATACATACACACACACAGCAGTGGCCAAAAATGATATCTAGAGGGGAAATATATTTTTGTTGACCCTACAAGTTTGATTATATCATCAAAATACGAGGAAAATATTTTATATATTTTTAAATATTTTAAATATTAATGAAGAACAAAACGAAACTAAACTTAGTTGAGGTATTTATCTGACAAAATTATTTTTTGAGGAAAAAAAGGCAAACTACATCTGCAGTAGTTTGCCAGTAGTTTGCCCCCCCCCCCCCCCCCCCCCACAGGTGCTTTGGTGTGCATACATTTATGAATTATATGGACTCCTTATATCATTTGGTTATTTTTTTTGGAAAGACACCCTTTTACCTTGAAAAAAAGCTTGCAGAAAATACAGTTTTGTGAGAATCATCCTTCAATCTGATGGTTTATATTTACAAGTGTGACCCATTGAGATTTATTTATTTATACAGGCATTTCTTTAATGACTATAGCAAGGAAAGTTTTAAATATACAGTCTGAGGGAAAATGCGCAAATGACTTCTATTACAAACACGGGGGACTGTTATGTGCATCTCTATCTGTGCCAAACTTCACCTGAGAAATTCAAAACGTATTCAGATAAACGCCATTTAACACATAAACACCATCTCATTTTTTCTGTTTCGGTTCCATGTACTTCAAAATATTGGTGACATCCCTTTTAATAATTCTGAATCTGAATTACCATAGACAGTGTACATACTGCCGTTAAACATTTGTTTTAAAAACACATTTATTTAAAACGTTTTAAATATTACATTATGTAAAAAAGAGGTTATTTCTTGTTGTTGTTTAATACCATTTAAAAATATATTTTAAGAAAAATACAAATCAAAACCTTCCAACAGTTCCATGTACTGTATGTCCTTCATGAACTGTAGAAGTTTATTTAATCTTAAATAAATGCTGAAAACACAATGCTATGAGAGATCCGGTGGCTGGGTACGAGAGATGCACGCTCCATCCCAAAGCCAGAAAATTCAGGATAATTTCCTTACATTCAGAAATCATTCCTGAACATGTCTGATCAAAATCTGTGAAGAATAAACCATCTCAAGATGAGACAACAAAGAAAAAGAAATGCAAAGACGCGCCAACAGAAAACTCACCGAACGCAGACGTTTCAATGGTTTTACCAGAACAGGAGGAATCCTAATCCAAACTTTACAGAACATGACTGAATCCTCAAACTCAGTGGTTAACGAATTGAGACAGAATTTCACCCGCCAATGCGAACCAGTTGCAATCTTTGGACTTTCCTCATTTAACTAGCATTTAATAACTAGCATTTTTATCAAAAGTGAAACAATTGTCCTACTTTTCCTTCAGGGAAAAACAGCCAGCTGGGTGCCATGGTAACTGACTCTGTGAACCTAACCTGGGTGGGAGCAGGTTTTCATATGTAAACCCCGAGTTTTTCTTTTAATAAATGCATCTTGATTTAAGAATCTTTAGATATTTTGACTGGAAACACCAGAATAAAGCTGCAGAACGGGAGCCGCTGTGTTGAGATGGCAGAAGGATTTGGGGTTCAGCGCCTGTGAATACATGCTTGTAGTCTGAAAATGTAGATGTTTCACTGCATTTATCTAGTGTGTATTCATGCATAGCTATGTCAAATGAAATTTTTTTTTTTACATTTGCTGGTTTTATTAAATTATATAATTTTTAGTACTAAAAAAGTAATATAATTAAGTATTTGGTCAGCATTTATTATTATTATTATTTTGTTTAAGTTTTGGGGTGGGCTAGCAATACAATTTATTCTGGGGTAATATTAATACATTTTTCGAGTATAAAATCAACAGTTCCCTTTCGAAAGGGAGCTCGCACTGCGTCGAATGACGCTTTGGGGAACAGCTCAGGTGTGACAGGTGTCTGAAATCACAATCAAATCTCAGCAATCACATTGACCGGCGACAGCCCGTGAATCATTAGCGTGAAGGATCAACGTGCGACCTGGAAGTATAAAAGGGCGCCTTGCAAACATGACAATCACCTTTTTCCGTCTTCAGGGACTGTTTGCCTGTATCGCAAGGAGGATTTACGGTGAGAAAATTTTCAAAAGTTTTCAAAATGAAACGCACAGAGAAGGCTGATCGTTTCCTGAAGTGTGCCGACCCGTGCCCAAGGTTTTTGTAGCCGGGTGACACACATGAACTGTGTGTTTTCTGCTTGGGTTCTCGAGGGAGCTTCCTGTGTAAACTGTGAGCTTTTTTCTTTAAAAACTACTGTTTTTCTTTAAAAACGCTCCGCTCTCGTCTGGCCCTCTTCTACAGATGCTGAAGACGGCTCAGCATCTGTACCTCATGGTTCAGATCCCGCTCGTGCTGAGGCAGAGCAGCGAAGTGCATCATGGGGTTCCCAGATGGAGCTTGCCGATCGTCTAGAGAGGGGTGTAAACCTCTCAGACGATTCGACGGCTGACGACGGTGACCTGCAGGTGGATGACCAGGATTATTATCCTACTGTTCCTGCAGCGAGTGCTCTTCTGGATGAACAGGAGATGGTTAATGAGGGTGACAATCAGGTAGATCCTGAGCACTACCCTGCCCCGTGTATGCGGAGCTGGTGGACATTATGGAGAGTGCCGCCGGCAGGGTGCAGCTGCCTTGGCGGCGCGCTAGGGGAGAAACCGCTCGCGGCCGGCTTGACGATCGGTTTCTCCCTGGCCATAGGCCACCAGCTCAGGTGAGCTGCTCTGCACACCATGGCGGACTACAGGCGTACCAGGCCGACCTGCTGCGGGATCTCGTCCAGGGGGCAGGGATGTCCCCTGAGGCGGTCACTGAGCTGCGCCGAACCACGGATCTTGCTCTCCGGGCCACCAAACAAACTGCTGCCGCGATCGGCCGGTCGATGGCGGCGATGGTGGCCACGGAGAGACATCTGTGGTTAAACCTGGCCGACATCGGGGAGAAAGAGAAGGCCTTTCTCCTCGATTCGCCGGTTTCGCCCTCTGAACTCTTCAGCACCTCCGTGGAGGCGGTGGTTGGGAAGTTCAGGGAGGCGAAGGACTTGCCTTAGGACTTGCATACCGCTGAGTTCCGGGTCCACGCCCAGGCAAGAAGTAGGCTTCATCAGGTAGTAGGCTTCACCAGGCCTCCCTGAAGGCAAAGCCCCAAGGACAGACAACTGGACAGCCAGCCTGGCTTGCTATCGGGTAGTAGGCCTAACCAGGCCTCCCTGAAGACGAGTTTTCCACATATGGTGGCTATCAGGTAGTAGGCCTTGACAGGCCTTCCTTAAAGGGTCACTTCACCCATTTCAACATTAATCTTTATTGAAAGTGGGTCATATATGTAGTCGAAATGTAAAAGAAATTTTGAATTTGATGCCCTCTTGACCGAGAAAAGACAGAAAATAACTTTAGTGCGCATTTGTATGCAAGACAACAACTCCCACAATGCACCACATTGCACAGCTCCGCAAGCCACTCCCACTAATCCAGAACAGCGCAAACATAAGAGAAATCACTTTTCCGTCTACTACAAGGTTAGCTGCCACCAGAGTTAGAAATTCATTTCACACAAAATTTCTAGTTAGTTGGCTGTGGCGAGCAGGACGAGGGCGAGGGATGTGATAGGACAGCGCGAGGCCGGTGGCGCGAGTGATAATGAACGACACCTGTGAGACGCACCGGACCGGTCTCTCTCGCGTCTCTCACCGAGGAGCGGACGCATAAAACGAGGAGCGACGACAGGGCAGATCGAGAGAGGAACAGGCCTGATTTTATGTTGTGTTTTGTTTCTGTTGTGTGTGGCCAGCAGTGAGGGGCTGCTCGCTTATATTTTTGTTTTGTATTTTATTTTACTATTAAAATGTTTAAATGTTTGCCGGTTCCCGCCTCATTCTTCCCACAACAACGAACCCCGTTACATTGGCAAATTAATTAGTGAATTACTCCTCGTTTGTATTTCTTTCTATATGGTGAATTATTGCATGATGATGATAAAGTTACCTGGATGTTCAGTCAGAACATATGCGGTGCGAAACTTGGATGGATCACAACACAAACGTCCGTGTGCTCGTCTGATTCAGAGATTTCGTCCAGGA